TTTACTCAATACAGAGTTAAGGAAGCCCGGTCATAAACTTAAACCAACATCTTCCAGAACAGCGGGCATGATTTAGGCAGGAGGTATGGTAGAGGATCACAGAGCCTCTCTGCAACTTTGGCACTGCTTGGTGATGACCATGGAATTCTGAGGGGCTCCCAAACCACTCAGAAATCCAGACCACCTCCTAATATCTCACATCCTCCGCTGTACTTCAATGTAGCAAAAAACCCTATGAATTAGAAAAATATCTCTCAATACATGTACCAATTATCTTGACTTTCTGTGTTAGTATGGACAAATTGGGATATTATGAACTTCAACCTATTTGGCTGAACCAAAACATTCTAATAGCCTTTGCTCATAAATCCTTACACTGGCTAATCTCAGATGGAAGTTGTATGGGTTTTCATGTCATTCAAATTCATTAGATCATTTCATGTCTATCAAATACAGGGTTTTTTTCTTCCAGGTACTGTAAAATGACAAGGCCTCATGTGAACAGTGAAGTAGCACAGATTCATAGATTATACAGATGTAAGAGAATACCCTAATAATCTCATTAAGTACATAAAAAACACATACAGAAGTACCACAGATTTCAGTCCATCCTGCTACAAATGAGCCTCAACAGTAAGTTCACCAATATTGACCAAGCATATTAGCATTATTTTCATTACTTACTGAGGGCTTCTAGTCTTCTATTGCTTCTTGAATATGTAAGAGCCTCAACAGTAAGTTCACTAATATTGACCAAGTATATTAACATTATTTTCATTACTTACTGAGGGTTTTCTAGTCTTCTATTGCTTCTTGAATATGTATTTGTGTATTTATGCTACCAAATACAGGAACAAAAAGATCTTTTTTTGAAGATAAGTACTTTCTGTCTCAATTTAAAAAAACCCAACACACTTAAACAAAACAAAACCACAATAAAACAAAACAAAACTGCAGGGAAACTGAAAATGCTCTAAGAAGATGCAGCATTTCACAGAATCGAACCTCTGGGATGGGAATAGCTGATTTAGCTTGAAAAGTTAATCCATACAAAATACATGTACTTCCTTTCTTGCTGTTATATCTTAAGAGGACTTCATAAGGTTATCACCATTTGCTCCCCCTGCCAAAGATAGCATATCTAGTATATGTACTTTTAAGCTAATTTAAAATAAACTCAGGCATTTGTTTCCACTTGCCCTTGTTTCCATGTCAACAGCACTTAATGAACGTATCATTCCAGGAAATGTCAATAAGGAGCAAAGAAGAATGAGCAAGCACTGAAAACTTCACACACGGCACACATCCTTCACAATCATATCGCTTTAATGAAAATAGGTGAGGTCACCTGCCGCATTCGCAAATGCTTTGTAATACATTCTGACCCAGATGATTTTTCACAGTTCAGTAACACCATGTTTGAAGTTTTCCCTGCAAACAATACACCCACAGGACTGACCAAGTGTGGGTACAAGAGAAGCAACCAGCAATTACTGTGTTGACTTCTGTTACTTTGATCTCCGGGTCATGACCTTTGCTTTCACGCAATCTTCAAAGTAGAGATTGTAGAATAGGTTATTTTAGAGGACACACTGTTTTGCAAGCTATTTTCCTACATTTCTGTTCTCCTGTTTGAACCAAAAGCCTCTAAAACTTTCCTATCACCATTCTATTTTAGATACGCTGCTTTCCCTTGCCCTCACTGTCAAGATACCCCTTTACAAAATAACACTTCCCAAATAAAAAAAAAAAAAAAGTAAAAATGTTGTTGTTTGGCTTTTTTTTTAGTGTGATGTTTTATAGGTTTGTTTTTTGTTTTTTTTTTTTACAGAAAGTAAGGCCATTTTACAATCATGGGGAAAACAAACTACGAGTTTTTAAAATGAACTAAACAGGTTTGCTTCTAAAAATACCACAGAAGGGAATTTTCTATTTACTTTTCCTAAGCAAAAATTCCAATAACAAACATAGAAATATTTTTATCAATTTGTTTTCCCACACCTTTGAAAGGTAAGGAGATTGAAAAAAAAAATTTTTCTTTTTTCATTTAAAAAAAACCAAACCACTCAAATTTTACTGTTTCTTAGTAACAAAATAACTTATTTGAGAAAGCCATAACAATGTTTTTCTTTAAAAGCTATGTTAAATTAAAAACTTGGGAAAAGTGTTAGTGTTGAAATTGATAGAATTGGTGTATACCAATGGATTATCTGAGGAATCAGAACGTAACTTCTTGACAAAATGCACAGTTTTATACATTTTCCAAGTATTTATCATAAAAACCAATCATTTTTAAAAGATTTAATATTACTTCTTATCTCTGTTACCAATATCACAGTAAATTACTGGACCTTGAGTTTCCTAAAATTTGATTGTCTGCATTTTGTTAAGGTTCAGATTTTGGGGTTTTTACAGATCTTTTCAGTTTGTTGGAATGAGAAGATTAAGTAAAGCTTTGATTTCTAGGACCTTTCTCTTTCTGGTTGAGGAATTAAATAGCCTGAACTCTAATTGAACTCAGTGGGAATGAAATTAAAGCTCAATGAAAAATGAAGCCATGGCTCCAATGGCCACTGCAAAAATTTACAAAAAGAAGTTTCTATTCAGAACAAAACCAAACCAAACCATTTAAAGTTTATGGTAAAGCAAAATATTTACATAATTCAGGTTCACTGAATTTCAATATTTTGGTGTATTTGTATGCAAATTTTCTCAACAACATAAAAGTCTTATTAAAAAAAGTTACTTAAAACCATTAAAAATTTTGAAATTGGCCATTTCAAATGTTTGCTTTTGAGATATGAAGCAATACATTTGATAAAATACAAATACTTTCTCACTCAGGAAAGCTTGCTTGGGTTGAATCTGTGAGGTAAACCTGTACATTTTGGAGGAAGGAAGAAAAAAGTTGTGTCCAAGATGCTCGAGAACATGTATTCAAAACTCCAAATTAGCTATTCAGAGTAAAATTAGCAGAGTACTTTTAATCATTTCCACCATGTAGGTGAATATATTCCCCATAGATAGACAGACAGACAGATAGATGTATGCTTTTGGTTTTTGAGTCTAATGTTGTCTGGCAAATACATTTCATATAATGTAACAAATAATTATGGAAAAGGATCAGGAAGCTTTCTTTATGGCAGCAGAACCATAAATCATTCAACTAATTAGAAGTGCATTCTTCCTTCTTAAATGAGCTTTAATTAACCTAGTTTATAAGGAAAAAATATACTGAGGTTTTTGAAAAATTGAGGGGAAGCAATGTTGCAGTTTACAGCAGATGCATAAATACAATCACTTCACACTTTGACACAGTGGTTTGCCACAATGTGACCTAAAACTACCTTGACCTCTCTGAAATCAACATTTTTGCATTGAAATGAAACAACAGACATGCTTGTTTTGATGTATGGTTGTGTGACATATTATAAATATTACATCACATAACCACAGAGGATGTCAATCAATAAAGAATTTCTTCAGACAGCACTAAATGAACCATGGGTTCTTGCTTCTGAATGGCTCCTTTAACATACTACTTTTGCTTAAATGATTAATAGGAGACATATTGTCAGAAAACATACTTAAAGTGAAAAACAGTAAACTGTAGAAATATCATTCATTTTTTAAGCAATTCTCTAGTGCAAATGTCACATAAATTTACATAGAGACAGAACTATTAGACTCTCATAAGCTGGATAGTAGGCATACCTTCCTATTGTGAAAGCAATAGGAAAATATTTTATTAAACCTAGGCTGCTCTACTTGGTGAAAACCAAAGTGCTACCGCTCGGTTGGATTTAAAAGCTGAATCATTAGAAGGTAAAAATCTTTAGGTTAATGATAACCTAAAAATCCTTCTTAAAAATTCGAAACAAAGAAAAGAGTATATGTGTACCCAGGACAGCTTCAACCTACAGCATTTATAAGCAACGAATTGGTGCATCAAATTCACGCCACTTCTCAATAAATCTGCTTTTCATCTCTGCCACTTTGTATTGTTTTATACTAACTCCTACAGCACAGATTACATGAAGATAAAATCAGAGTTATATAATAAAACTCTGAATACCACAGGTCATCTGCTGAGAAAAAGCTCAGGTTCTACAGGGCCGGCAGCATTGGTGACCCAGCGCCGCTTGGCCCAAATTTGCCTCAGACAACCATTTCCAGCCAACGTGAAAAACGCCAGCACTCAAAGACTGAAATCTTGTATCAGGTGTGAGCAAGGAAGAAGAAACCTATGAAACTGATGTTACTTCACCAGACATTCCATAAGTTTTGGATCCATACTCACAGTCATCATCAGTCATGAGTATTTTTATTTTTTAAAAAATAACCCTTGTAATTTTTAGCAACATTTCGGTTGTATATACAGGATTTTATCAGGTCTCCATATTAATTTCCAGATGGCCTTTTGTATAATCTAGCTCATTGAAATTACATTAGAGACATAGTTCAGGGTGGGTTTTTTGCATCCAAACACTAACTGCTCTCAGCAAAACAGCACAATATAGGAGTCCTTCTGTGTTCTTTAGTAGTGCCTTTATAACTATAGTACAAGAAACTCATCACCATAATCAAATGTTAGCAGAAGACAATGCAGCTGGCTATCTGAATGTAGGGATTTATTTTTTTCTTAACTGTCACCCTTGGTGTATGTGAATGTTGCCTTACGTTGGCCTTAGAGAAGGAAATGCCATAAGTAGGCACGTATGATCACTCACATTCAGAAAATCCTGTGCACACCTGCTCAAACCAAACACGTGCTGTACAGCACTGAAATAGTTCTTGATGTAGGATTCCCAACAGTGATCTTGCTGAAATGCAGTTGCTCAAATTCCCAGGTGTTTCATGGCAGAATGTGCCACAATGCTTTCAGAATGGAGGAGAAGTTTGTTTGAGCCCCTGAGTTGGTTTTAGTTCAATATTTTCCTGGTAATAAAATAAAATTGACATACCTTATCAAACTATATCAATAGAGCAAAAACACTAACCTGTATCTCTGGTAGTCATCTTCATCCTTTTCTTTGCAGACCAGTTCATTTGGGCAGGCCATGTTTCCAAGCAAACTGAGATACTGTAGTGAGGGCACAACTTCAGCCAAATGGTCCAAAAGGCTTTCTAATTCTGTTATGTGTCAAAGGTTGTGGGTTAAGGATTCAATGACATTAATGAAAAAAGCATTTAGAATTGCATCATTGCTGATTTAAACATACATTTCAATAACTGACAATCAAATTTAGTATGGCATTCGGGAAAATGTCACATTAATTGTTCCAAGGGCAAACAGGGATAAACTTCAGTCAGTTTTTTGGCACGGAATAAAAGAATTTGGCTGTTTTGTCATTCTTTTCTCCTCCTTTCTTTCCTAGGTGGTTCACTACAAAACATTAAAACTTTGACAAAATGATGGATGCTGTGTGGTAAAATGGCTAGCAATTGCTGGAGCCGTGAAACTTTTCCAGCATGGAAACAAACAGTTAGTTTCACAGCACATTCATCACTAATATATTCAGTCCACTGGAAAATGAGGTTTTAAAAAAAAAAAAAAAAAAAAAAAAAAAACAAAACAACCCCCACATTTTAAGTAGGAAGCTTTCAGAATATATATTGGCCCTTTGGCATTTCAACACCTTGTGTATCATCTTGCTACTTTCTTCTCATTAAGTGGCTACATTACTCTCGCAAACCAGCAATGGGTGGCGAAGAGGTTTTAAAAAAAAAAAAAAAAAAAAAAGTCAAACCACAACAACCCACTTTCACTCCCAGCATATAAATGCTTTGAGTGCCACAGCAACACATTTGTAATTACTCAATTAGTATATGTGAATTAATGCTTCACTAAGTGCAACTTAAAGACTTCAGTGTTACAAGTAGTTTATATTTGAAGCTTTAAAGTCTTGTAAAGCATAATTTTTATCATTAAACTTGCCTTATATTTTGGTGTTCATGAGGCACTTTAACTTAGCTATGTTCCTCATAACATAAACAATGATGATACACCTTCTATATTGTAAACTATATTAAAATAAACAAGCAAAAAAGGTTAATCTTTTAACCACTGCAATATTGGAAATCACAGCTTAGGTTTAAGCATAACAACAATATTCAACCATTTTCACCTTGTTGATTGATGAAATAAAGCAAATTACTTTGTCAAAGTTTAGTGTTACAATCTCTAAGACTCGAACTACACATTCTTAGTTACTTTGATTTACATGCAAAGAAAAAGGCATGATTCTTAAAAAAGATGCCATGCATATGCATGTAAAAAGTTTTTAATGTTAAAAATTGACTGACTTAGACAACAGTAATAATTATTCAAATCCATTAAAGGACATTTCATTGCTCTGTTTTTATCCACTCCTGCTGTTAGAGACCACAACTATTGTTTTAAATCCTCAATTCACTTGTGTTGCTATTATTTATATTTATGTGTTTCTGTTATCTTTGTTATTTTTAGCTGATGGAATTTATTTTATTTCTTCACCTCAATATCTTAAGGGCAACAGAAGCAATACAGAAGGGAAAGAGCAGCTTCATTGTTAAAAATGTAGGCTTCCATGTGTAAGTCTGAAATTCTATTTTATTTCCAAACACACATGAAGATCATGCTGACAATTACTAATTTTAACAGATTAAAATCAATGTATGTAGGCTTATAAGTTAATGCCCTGTAAGGTCTGAGGAATCATACTCAAACATTTTGCTTGAGTGAGAAAAATGAGGGTTTGAGATTAGTTGTATTAATTAATTAAAAAGGTAAACATACTAATATTTAATTTGGTAAAGCCACATTATGGAATTCCATATGCCAGTAAATAACCAACAAGACCTCAAGAAAAAAAATCTTCTTTGTTAGCCAGGATGAATTCTCAATCAAAATTTGGTTCTGATTCTTGTCTTCTCATACCTGGACCTCAAGCTCATGCATAAACTTTTTCATGGCTCTTTCAGGAAGTATGTGACTGTGATGGGAAAGTCACAAACTGTTTTTCCACACATGCTCAAGTCAAAAGCTTTTTAAAAATTTCCTAAGGCTGTTAGAGAAGTGCTTGAATCTGGCACCCTCCCTCAGCCAGGAGAAACACTTAATTTCTTGCAGGATTGCTTACATTGCAAAAAGCTCCCTGAGAGAAATAGTTTATTATTACAGAAGACAGTTATTTCCATAACAGCAATCACACACAGGGGGTTAGCTATTGCAAGCCTTAGATTATATCTGGCCTTTTCCTATCAAAAAGGGGGAGTGGGGGAAGCCAACCCCCAAACTTTTGGCTTCTTCTACGGAATAAATGTGCAGAATTTTTGCTTGCCAAATCAGGGGTAGAAGCTTTTCTCCCCAACAATTTGCTGGAGTATGAGACATAGTCTAACTCTCATCAAAACTTATTTAGACGTGGTGATAAAGAGCAGTGTCAGCTTAGGTCTGCCAAAAGTGTAAGACTATGCATCAAAGTCGGGTAAATAACAGTAGTTGATAATCTGCATCTCAAAAATCTAAGTCTCTCCAAAATCAGAAATTAGTGTCTAGATTCTAATATCTCATATCTAAATCCTTAGCATTGATTTTAGATGCAGAAATACTCCCCTAAAAATTATCTCAGGCAAGGATGGCCAGGAATCACACACAGAGCTCTTACCTTGCAGTTCTGTGTGATACTCCCCAGATGTTTTCTTTGTTATCATTTACTCACCTCCCTCTAACAAAGAAGGTATTTAGCATCCTAACATTATTTCAGTTTCAGCTGCAACAGAAACAGAAACATCCACAGCGCAAACCCCAAGAATTGGACACAATCACCTCGAAAGTAGAAGGTCACTAATTCACAGAAAAGTTGAAGCTTTGCAGGCTTAGACAACCCAAAAATAGCAGGACACCAGCAACACCTGGGAACAAACTAACCTGTGGCTTATGATAGCCAACTTTTATGTGCCAGAATTAGCAGTTGTATCATAAATAAAATAATAAAAAATTCTGTTCTTTAAGACTTTAACTGTTTTCTCAGCCTCCTTAGAAACACACCAAAAATGCAAGGTACAGATTATTTTTCCAAGAAGCCCCATCCACTTGCCATGACAGTTATTCTTTACAAAGCAAGTAGGAAAAAATAAATGATATCCTGTTCAAATTCTCATGATTAAGTGTTTCTCAGAGATGAGTCATAAGTCATGGTGCACTTCTAGTGTACTGCTTAGTTAATTACCATGTCATATACTTATTTTAATCACAATACTGGAGCTATAGGATGCCACCAAAACTGTAAAGTCTTTCTAAAATAAAGCCAGGAAAATACAGAAGGAGAAAATCAAAAGCAAGTCTATTGCCAGTTGCCTTTTCATGGTTTATTGTTGCAGCCTAAGGAGTGCCATATTGGTGCAATCAGAGCCAAAGAGCTGCAAAATCCTGCTGTGTCACTTCTGCTGTGCCAATTTCAGCTCCGTTCTCTCCAAAAAGGAAAGCCACAGTTAGATCCATGGACAGTGCTAGTGAAGATTTATTTATTTATTAAAAGCACTGTGACAACAGCCCTGAACTGATCTTTCTGAAGTCAGTGTCACTGTTCACCAGGTGAATATGTATCGGTGACTTCTTGCACTACTTCTATTTTTAAATAGAATGTTTACAAGAACTGGGTATCTCTCACCCTCAGATTAACCTTTTTAAGCCTCTTCATTATGGTACATGTATGTATACACAAATGCATATTTCATGTTCACAGCATACATACGCACAAGCATACACAAAGACATCACCATATCTTGTGTTCAGAAAAACAAATGCCACCAGCGACACTGAGATTCTATGTTCTGACTTGTCTATTTTCACACATTACCTGGTACCTGACATCATAGTTTGTGAGGCTCTCCAGAAGGCAAAAAACCAAGCAAAAGTCCTAAGCAAATGATGCATCTCCCTTTTCTGGCTAACAATTGACTGTCTATGCAAGCCCATAACACTTTTGTTTGCTTGTTTTGTAGAAAATCCTGTAGCCTGGATTAAAATTCTAGTGCTAGTGGGGACTATGGTCCCTTCCATATCCTTCAAAGATTAGTTCCACAGTATTCAAGGGTACGACAAAGGAAGGACTGGTGTGATTCAAGGTTAAATTGTCTCCAGGGAATACTGTATTTGAACAAGGTCAAAGTTGTAACCTCTGAGTGGACAGTATAATGCCATTTCTCTTAGTCAATTTAAGGAGAACCTTACAAGCAGGGACAGCCTCTTTGACGCTAAGCTGTGTCTTCTGACAGCCAGCATAGTGAAAAGACCATTCTGTTACACTTCTGAGAGGTTGTGTGGATTCACACAGAAACCACTGGATGAAGTCTTATGTGTTCCACTACTCCAGACCTTTGTATTCTCAAGTCCCTTTAGCTGTGTGCTTTCACTAGTGCTTCCAGCATAATTCCAGGACACAGACACTGCATGACTCCTTTATAGACAGTAATAAGTACTGAGGAATGCCACTGGGTGCTCCTCAGACTCTATACTGTTTCCTTTTTCACTGGTATCCTTAGTATATTTTAGGTGGTTGTTCAGGGACAACTGCTGGTCAAACCTATGAAACAGCTAACAATTTCTAAATGAAAAAATTATTCTAATTAACTCTATACAAATGCTATCTTAACATATAACTGTCCAAAAAAATCTAACCTATACATATTTTCTGTCTCACCACTCAGTTATTTTTTGCATATAGTCTGAAGTATGCAAGAGAACCTGGGATTTGTTTGTTACCTTTTTCTCTGCCTGTTCTCTGTCTCAGTGCTTTCCAAGCTGCTCCACCATATTCTTTCAAAAAGTTCTTACTAGTCTTTTGAAATTTTTAGCAACTTCCCCAAAAGAGTGGCAGGAGAACTTTTCATGTTAATGACTTTGATTAGAGTTTTTGGAAGACCTTGGAAGCAAAGGAACAAAGTAAAGAGCAATCAGCTGTACATTCAAGATATTTTTTAAATACTCACGTAGAGAATATCAGAAATATCAGACAGAATTCCAGACTGCCACATAGAAAGACCCCAACCTGTCATTCAGAAGTCTTCTGCCAACTAAACATCTGTCATGCAGGTGCCACAATCAACCTAACATTAAAACAGCTGGATAGCACTTCCACAAGAGTCATAAATAAG